GAGCTTAAAACATATCTTGCAATACACTGAATGAGCCAAAAAAAAAAAAAAAAAAAAAAAAACTAGCATGTGGTAAAAAACAGTGTCAAACTCTACAAATTACACGCGGATTACAGCGGAAGCCACACAGACCTATGACCTCTAACGGTTCTACTCTGGTGAAATGTCCTCCTAAAAACACAGGATTATTGCTTAGCGAAATATTGAAAGATCCCCCTATCGTGCCATACAAAAGGGGCAGATCCTTAAAGATATACTAGTTCGAGCAAAACTTTCAAAGCGGCTATTTACACGTGGATAGGAGTTGTGTAGGCCTGTCACCCCATTGTCACGGGCGTGATCATTGTTAATAGCAGTCCACAGAAGAACACTATTGTTAGGTACTTCAGAGGTGCGATAACCAAGAAAGATCAACCGCCATGCATAAAAAGCCGTTTTAGTCTTTGCGGAATAGACAGCAGTTTTGAGCTACTTGACCGTAGTAAACATTGAGGCGTGTAATGAAATATAAGGTCGTTCAAATGGGCTGGATTGAGGAAGAAGAATTTTAAAATTTATTCTCTCTTTAACTGCACGCCAATGTAAATTCAATAATATTGGAGTAATAGTGGAGTGATAAAGGCTGACTTCTTCGCTCTGACACTCAGGCATTCAGCCTTACAGCTGTATTTTGCCATGGTTGTAGTTCCTCCAGCTTGTAAGAGGGAAGACCATAAAGAATAATGTTGCAGTAATCAAGTTTTCAAGAAATTAAAGCATGCATAAGGCGCTCCATAGCAGATTTTGATAGAGATGTGCCGCTGACAGATTCATTTCCTTTAAAAATAACCTATATTGTCGTACTTCCTGGTTATTACCTTAAGTGACTGATGAAACGAATTTGTGTGATGGAACAAAGCAAAAATGGAAAGTGTGAAATGAATATATATTTTTGGTTTTAGTGTTATCCAATACAGTAATTTTCGACTGAACAAACGATTTGCAACGTAGTTAATACTCGCCCTTAGTCCCTTACTGGCATGTGATTTTTATCTATTCAGAATCACACACGTGTAAGTTTTTCGGTGCCTGATTTCTCTTGAATCACTTAGCGAATTCAGAGAAACAGGAACATAAGAACTCTTTGTATAGCAACTTACAACGAAATAAAACAGAAAATAGTACGAAGTTACTCCAGACTGTTTCTTTACTTTTTCAATTACGATGAGCAAAATCCGTCTTCTTAGGAAGCTTTTCAATATCATATATTGACAGCAATACATGGTTATCAATACATTGCTATTTCAATGATCTGAAAATTTAATTTTACATGCAAATTTTTGTAGTTTGTAAAGAGATTAAACAGCTTCTAGATTAAACCTCAATTGATGATAAAAGCCAGGAATAATGACTGCAGCTGGAAAAATAGTCCAATACAATATTAAGTGTTTTTTCATAGCCCGACTAAGTCTCGAATTTTATTTGAAGCTGAACTAATTAGCGATTTAGACTTTCAAACTTCTCTAGATGTTCCAAGAGAAAGCGAAACGTGTAAAACAAATATCTTTTACGCACCAAACACTAATGAACATAGACAACATCGACATGTCTCCCGCAGTATTTCTCGTACATCAAGTCAATATCTTATTATGTTATTATTGATACCGTTTGTGGAGTCTATAACTAGAACGAAGCCTCGATTTCTACCGATCATTCTTATAATTTCCATGTACCGTATTGGTGGTTCTAATTTTAAAACTGAATAATGGTAATATAATATTTGGGGAAAATGATAAATGTAAATGTTAACAATTGTCGGCGTACTCGTTTGTGTTCTTATTCAGTTTCGGCGAGGCATTACGTTTCGAACTACGCAAGCCCTTGTTACCAGAATGAAGCATAACGGTTTGCCTCATTGATAACATAAAGCTGAAAATTGTCCGCGTCATATGTGAAAATAAGCAAAGGTATCCTCAACTATACTGCACTTGTTATAAAAATGACAGAAGATTAAGTCAGTTTTGACTCTCGGTGAGAGAAATGTAAATAAGTCTGGAAGAAGAAGAAAAATGTTAAGGGATTTCTTGACACCCTTGTTCTAAAACGTAACGTCATAATTTATAGCTAAGCAATTTTTCTACGAAGCTAAAACTGAAAACGTTTCTTTTATCGTTTGTGCCATGTTGTTGTTTAATCGTCTGTGGGAAACACTAGATCTATCCTAAAAAAAGCACAACGAGTATGTTTGATCAGGCTTGTGATAAATCTTGATTTTATATCAAACTGCTTTTTACGTACCTTGTGTTCCGTTCACAATTTTGGCGGGAATGTGTCCTCCAAAACCAGCTTAAACCCGCTGTTAACGCGCGCGGCGGTTTCTACTGCCGTATCAGGATTCGAGAAATGAGATGAACTTCCTTTTTATTCACATTCGCCTCGGAACCACGTGGCCGCAAAACAAAAAAGGGCACCTTTTGTGTGTTGTAAAAATATGGCACAATCATTTGAAGTTTAACCTATTTCTACAAACGTCTTTTGTTCGTTAAACACTCTTCCGTTAACTACCATTGTATTGATATTTTTCGTATGTCAACACTGAACAAAATATCCTTTTACACTTTTAAACTCCAGCGGGCGGGGTACCTAAGAATAATTTTGCCTTTGCTCAGCTGTTTTGTACAGAACGCAAGTCAAGTGGAAGAAAACCAGCGACTGACGCGGGAAAAGCAAATTAACAAGCGGGAAAATACGGCGAAGAAAGCTTTGGTCGACACTCACTTCATTTGTGTTCAAACTGCCTGCTTTTAAAAAGGATTCACGTCAGCTAACGCATCCATTTTTCCACAAGAGTACTTCAGGAAATGCTAACTGACAGAAACATACAAACTCAATGTGTAACTGACAAAGCCTTCTGTTCGTCTTGTGAAGTGTGTTAATTTAGTAGTCAGTTACTTGAGTTCACGGGAAAACCGTCAATACCAGGTCTACTGAACACCCTCGTAAAGTAAATATTTGTCGCGTCGAGTTTTAGCCAACAAAACTGGGAATTTCCCCATGCGTTCACAGTCTGTTTGGCTTGTTCATTGTTTTTTCCACTCTCTACGTTATCTTTTTCTTTTGTTGTTCAACAGTTTGGGCTGACATGTATCGGATCGCCTCTCGAAATTTTCCTACTTTATTATAGACTCGCATTTCCAGTTCTTAGAGTCCGGCAATGTATTATAGCTACGTAGGTATCGAGTAAAAGGTCATGAATTGAATGTATTGTAAAACTGCGTTTTACCTTGTTTGGCACAAGACGTAGAAGTGTTTATAGAGCGGACGGTGTTGTTCGAACCAAATATGTTCCGACCTAAAGAGCCAAAGTTCAAGAAACTGAAGTGACCAAAATGACCAAAAAAAGACCGATGGTTTTCATCTGAATCACCATAACAGAGTGTTATCTACACAGGTTAGAGGTTATCACTGAGTTAACAGGTTTTATATAAAAAAAACTCTTTACTATAAATGCACTAGTGAAAGCTCTTGTAAATTTATGCCGTATTCTGACAGGCGTGTTTCCAGTTTTCTTTTCTTGTTACGGTTTTGCCAGCGTTTTTCCGGAATAAAACGTATCCATTGACTAACCTCCTGGGTAATCTTAAGCTTAAACGCACGCGAGGTACCACTCACCACCAGGCAGTTAGCTGCCCCTTTATTCTTTCATCGGACTGTGTTTCAGTGTTACACACAGCAGGTGTAGCTGAAAACACAGCGATATTGACTTGGCAGTAGATCTCCTTCTCATACAATTATTTGGTCATTTCGTGAAAATTATTTGTGATCGGATCCGGGGAAGTGCCGCTGTACGCCGACTCCGCGCTCGTGGCTTCGCCTTTGCTGCTCGCAAGCTACTGCTGGACAGAGTGGCTCTGAGATAGGGTGTGGTTTTAAGGGTGTTGTACCGATTTCAAACATGATTAAACTCTTCAAGGCATTTCCTGTCAGTTTTTCCTAGCAACTAAATCCAGCCACAAACACAGATCTCATTTGCGATAGATTGTGGCATATTCACAAATTTAAGGTTCGTAAACCGGGTCGCAATGGTGAGTAATCTTTAATATAAGGTAAGGAAGGAAAATCAGAGATTTCCCGGAGAAAAAACCTGACCCGCTTGAAGCGGGTCAGGGTTTGAATGGCTCTGTAGCACCTCTACGCAAGTAACTGTTGAGTACTGATCTCCCCACCAACCCCGCCGCGGTCCCCAAGCATACAATGAAAGCAGGCTTAATCGTCTGGTTTCAGGAGCCCATCACTGGGAGCGTGCAGTTATCCCATATTCCTGTCACGGCGTTTTCACAGTCCAATCTATCTTTAGTTTGAATTTACCGCGAATTCAGGACTCCCCCCGCCCCCACAGCAACCTCAGTAACCAATCCCAAACACGGACTTAATTTTTAACTGACGTCATCATTTCACCGGAAGAAGTGACGGTGTCCTGATGCGGGTTAAGCCATTTTCTTCCTTACCAATGCGCGCTCATGTAGACCGGAACTGACCTATTTCGCGGGAATAGAAGCCTAAAAATAGACCGATCTGTAAAAATGTTGTGACATACGCTTGTAGGATGGGGTCCTGCTGGTTTTCTTAAGCGCTTAAACAAAAACATAAGCATTAAGTAAGCGAAGGTACGACAACATAAACATAACTGAGCACAAACAAAACGAAACTGTTTCGCTCTTTTTCATACTTTTGCTGTTCGTATGTCGTATCGGAGACTCGGCTCGAGAATTTTGAGGCCTCCCGAGACGAAACAACCCATAATTGCGCATGTTAGATTCAACCAATGAGAGCGCGCGTTATATCCAACTTAAAATCCAGTGTTACTCTAGCTATAATTGTTAAGGTGGCGTTGGATTGACGGGTGAAAATCTTCGACTTTGTCAGAATACAAAATAACTTGATATTTTGAGTTTAACTGAATAACCTAGCGTTTTTATTATTTGTTTCTATTTATATATATATGTAATTTAAAAATCTAGTTTTATCGTTTTCCAAGAAAGTTCATTCTCTCTTGTTTATTGTTGTTATACGTTCTCCTAGACAAATACATCTTAAAATACAATATACAACCGATATACAACACCTCTGTTAAATAAGTTACTATTTTTTTAAGTGTTCAAGTCCGCTATCAACAGTATTCAAGGATTTCTTCACTTGCACAACCTTCCTGGCAACATTCTTCAACAATATTTGTGCGACCGGATGTGGAACCGTCTGCAGCACTTCTTGGTGACCGGTAGTTAAGAAAACTCAGCGCCTCCTGTTCGTCCATCAACGCTGATCCTAACAAATCATCAAACAAAGAGAATTAGCTAAGCGTTAATCAATTTCAGGCTTATATTACCACATAATATAGATATAGCCAAGCCTAAACGCGGAGCTCCAGATTGCAACAACTAAACGATAAAGAAAAAAGGGGATTTGTTTTTCTTGGATAAGAAACTCAAAGAATGATCAATTGTGAGCATGTAAGTAAGTAAGTAAGTAACTTTATTTAATGAGGGTGAAAACACTTTACAGTCATTGACTGATAAACTCGTGGCCCTCCCTTAAACAATTAAAATATAAATCA